ATGCCCCCTTCTTGGTGATTAGGACTACTACTACTAGATGACAGATAGATATTTCAGTCCTTTCCAACAGAAAAAGGAACAGAACTTGGACCTAATACTTCAGTGACTAACTTCAGTGAATGAGGTGACTGTTTGCCTCTCACATAAAATAGGACAATCTTCCTTAGGCAGTTTTCTGAATCAAGCTATATGTCATTCAGCTGAAATTACTCAGCCTGATTTTGTAGATTGCCTGTGGAGAACTTAAACTATATTATCTGAAAGTTTTAGTCAGAAAAAAGTAGGAGGAAAAAAAAAAAAAAAAAAAGGCTGACAGCCCCAGTTTTGTTTCTTTTAATTTGATTCAGATCTTCTCACCAATTCCAAAAATCAGAGGGTTGGAGCACCTCTCCTATGAAGAAAGGCTCTGGGGAAACCTCATTGTAGCTTTCCAATACTTGAAGGGAGCATATAAACAGGAGAGGGAACAGCTGTTTACAAGGGTGAATAGTGATACGACAATGGGGAATGGTTTTAAGCTGAGACAGGGGAGGTCTACATTAGATATTAGGAGGAAGTTTTTCACACAGAGGGTGGTGACACACTGGAACAGGTTGCCCAAGGAAGTTGTGGATGCCCCATCCCTGGAGGCATTCAAGGCCAGGCTGGATGTGGCTCTGGGCAGCCTGGTCTGGTGGTTGGTGACCCTGCACATAGCAGGGGGTTGAAACTAAATGATCATTATAGTCCTATTGCACCTGGGCCATTCTATGATTCTACAATTCCCTTCATGAAGTTATCAAAACAGTGCCATGACAGGAATTAGACTGAAGGGACCCACTGGCACCATATGGGTTACAGAGGAGAAAGTAAGCACCTTCCCAACAAGTGTTATATGTGAAATCACATATGTGGTTTTTATGTCCTCCTTTGAGCTAGCTTTTCTCTCTGAAACCCAGGGAGCATTGGCTGCTGTACATGTTCGCATTCAAATGATTAAGGAGAAAAGTTCGACTTTCTACAAAATTAAGGTGATTCTTTTCAGACTCAGGCAGCACAAAGACAAAGCTCCTTTCCTTTAATGCTGAGAGTAATTAATACTGAATTACAATAGAAATTCTACCCAAGGACTTTTGATGATCACTAAATGACTTCCACATGCTTTATGCGATTACAATAAACACAATAAACAAAGATGTAAACAATGATTAAGCCCTCATTTTAAAGCATTACTCTATAATCAAGCAAAAACAAAAGCTATTCATTAATGGTTTGCCTCCATGAAGCAGCAGTAACACAATATATGAAAAACCTTTAGGTTTGGACCTGACAACCAGGCTATTTTGGAGTGAAGAAGAAGGTATGGTCTGGGATCCACACGCAGTACAGAGACACGAAGATAAGATACCATAATGGCATCCATTTGATAAGGCCACAGCATTTTTCAGATAAGGCTAGACTGTAGGTTTAAAAGTAGCTTTAAAAATCAGATGTGACAGTGGCTCTGAAGAATATGGGGTTAGCCATAATTCATGTGGGAAAAAGGACAGCCACAGCCATAAATCCCACCTCAAGGAATGGTGAAAATGCGGTTACATTCCTCAAAGGTGAAAACCATCCGCCAGTTACTAGATCTTTATATCCCTAGAAGCTCAGTAAGATACTCTCAAAGGAGCCAAAGAAACAGAACTGATGGAATTTAGCCTTTTGTTTTACTGTTATCTGTCAGAATACCTTGTATGCTAATGAGAAGAACTTGGGAGCTATTGCTGAAGCTCTCTTTACCTAGATAATGACTTGAAGAACTAATACACTTTTCAACAAGCAACTTATTTTGTCTGAATTTGCCTCAAGGCCAAATTTCCCCTCTCTGATTGCTACTACTCTAATAAGTTACATTATGCAGTGTTGCTCTGCCTTGTCAAACTGGTCAGGAAACTAATGCGTTACAGCAATCTAGCACTTTGCTTGTAGTATCAACAACTTCTCCTCAAACTGGTTTTGCTTGTTAGAAAAATCAGAACATTTCTTCCACCTTCCCCTACATCTGCATTTCTTTTTTTCAAAAGAACAACCTGAGGAATATCACATTTGGAAAGATTTCTCTACTTTGAAAAAAATCTCAGAAAGGTAGGAGTATTAGGATGCTTTTTGATGCTTTAAATTGACACAATTTCTTAGATTTCAATGGATATACACTGATTTTTATTATAGATTTCTTTATGATATCATATGACAGATATTTAACGTTTCAAAAACTACCAGTACATTGCATTATTCAAGAAGCATGCTGTAAACATTCAACTGAAAACAATGATAATATCTGGATACACGAGGGTATGGAGACAATTCATTTAGCATAATCGCTTGCATTCTTAAGCCTTGGTTGTTTAATGTACCAGGAGAAAAGAGGGATGGCAGCAACCATATTCAAGCATGAAGTGACAAGAAACATGACAGCACGCTGCATGAATGCTCTGACAGAAAGGTACTCAGTTCCAGCAGCTATACCCAGTTCCATTTTCTGCTCAACAGATCTAGGAGTATGGATTCAAAAGCAGAAACACTTTGCTCTAGGGCATAATAATTTGTCTAATGAATTGCTGCCTAGAAAGCAGTTGGAAAAAATAATTCAGGCAATACATGTCAGCTAGTCTTCAGGTTATTCTTCTCAGAATCAAGAAGTACTAGAGGTATGTGTAAGGCATATGTCTGACCTAGTTCAGCTACAGTATACTAACCACCATGTCTCTTGGGATAGCCCAGCAGAGGTATCTCTTTCAGCATGATCTAGCTGAAATTGTTTGTGTACAACTCCTTTGGATGTAGTAACACGTACAAATTTCCCCAGCACCCAGGGAACAAGGGCTGAGGAACAAAGGAGTGGAGGAATCACCTGGGTATACAGATTCTGCTGTATATGGGACAGTGATCTGCTGAGGACATTCTGCAGAGCTGAGATGCCAGTGAGGAACAGGAGTTTGTTGGAGTGGATGTCCATTTGTCAGCACTTTAAGAGATGCCGGCTTCAGAAGGCTCAATAGACACTTCCAATAGCCCTGAAATGTTTTCTGATATCTTGTAATGACTTTAAAACCTGTAATAAATAACCAAATGCTACAGCTGTCAGATGCTACAGAAGAAGCATAAGAAATCAAGGCCGCTGCCAGTGTCTTATTGCCTCTAACCTAAGATGATATTTGCTATACAAAAAATTATTTGCTATACATGCTTACAGATGATCTTAAAAAGACTCTTGTAGCTTGCATGTCAAAATCTATGAGCAAACCCACTATTCACAATAGAGACACAGAAAAAAAAAAATTGCTCAGTATAGACGGAGCAATCAGTTTTCTCTCAACACTTTGCTTAGATTTTTCTCCTTTAAGATTCAGGACATTCAAACTCTACTTCTCAAATACCACAAAAATGGCTCAGGTATCTCAGTTTACAGGAGTTGATGCACACCTTTGGTTTGGTGCAGCTCCATACCACTGTACCCCTTCAAGACACTGAAAGATAAATATAGATGAAACTGAGTGCAGCAATACCACCTTAACCATCTCATTCTTGTTCTAAACATTCACATATCCAAAAGAACACCAGGAATTTGTGCAAATCTTGTAAGGGGACAGTTTTGTACAGTCACATCTAAAAACTTCTGGGGATGTACTGCTCTAAGAGTGTTGAGAAATTCATTGTCTCTGTTAAATTAAAAATGACCCCAAAGCAAGAAAAAGTACTGGATTCCTGATTGTTCACATAGCTTAGAGATGTTAGCTCTATTCCAGATACTCCAGCTAGTTCTCTCCAAGACAAACACACTGCTGAGCTGATGATCCTGTAAATCAGCCTGTGCACTGTACTGCTTGGTACTGGAATCATGGATTAGTCCTTAGTCCTCTTTTATTTACCAGTGTAGCTCCATCTCTAAGGCACTTCAAATAAGAGAAACACACCAGTGCAGAGCAATAGAAATGAGAAAAAAGCCATAATTTGTCACTGTCACAGGGCCGGGATTACAACTGGGAGTTTCCTGCAGCACAGAGAGGCAGCCAGAGGACTTGTCTTTAGTTGCTGTAACTTCGCTAGCCAGGAACAACCAGTGTGGGTCTTAGTGATGCCTAAAAAAGCCAGTACAGGGTGTGATGGAGGAATAAAAAATAAATATGTTGCTGCTGTAAATCCTTATGCTGGTAAAAGGTTTGTGATCGTGTGTGGGTACCGCACATAAACAGACTTTCTGAGGCAGCCAAATGCTGTGCACCACTTTGCTTTCCTGCCAGGTTCACAGCTGAAATTGGGAGTAAAATTTATACTCCAGATAATGCCTGCAGGAAACAAACAGGAGAATGTCACTAAAGGCTGAGGAAAGGGCAGAGCCCAGTCCCATTCAAGCTGGAAGGACGGTGGGCAGGACAGAAAATATCACAGCAAAATATTCCCCACTGCAACAGAAGGGGACAGAATACTGTATAATATATCATTTATAACACAGTCTGTGCACTGTCGAGAGTTTTATGTTTTACTTTTACATTTATGCTGAGTAAAACTCCGCATGTTTTCACATGCTTACAAATTTCCATATGCGTACATTCTCTGACCTAAAATATCGTGTTTGTTTTCTTCCTGCATTTCATTTCCTTTGGGAAACTTCCTGCAAGATTCAAGTAATCACCACCTGGTTTGCTGCCCTGAATCATCCTGTTTTCTTCCACAACATTCTGCAATTTCATGGCATGCTTTATTTTGTGATATGTATATATATGATAGACCAGGAGCCCCAAACCTTCATATGGAAAGCTCACTATAAATATTCTCTGTTGTGTTTGAAAACTAATAATGACAACAGAATTGTAGGATCGCAACATTCAAACTCCTGGAAAAAAAAAAAAAGTTATTGCCAGTTTTTATCTTCAAAATATACAGTGATATTTCATAAAACTTCCAGGGGACTTAACATCTTAATTTGCATTAAAAAGGTCCCTATTTACATTTCTCTAACATCAGCCTTGAGAACTTACAGTTAACCCAAAACTTAAAAAGAAATCCAGTAGCTAAGAGTAGCTTATCACATACATTACTGGAACAACTCCCTCTTGCATTTACTTTCAGGAAAATACTGATATTTCAGTTCCATAATAATTCTAAGCATTCAACCTGTTATTTACATTATTTACATATTTGAAAAAAGTGTGTCACAGTTGTTAGTGAAGTATAAATTAGACAGATAAGACTAGATACAAATTCACTGTCATTTTCAGTATAGGTTGAAGGGACCTCTACAGAGACCACCACACTCAACTTCCCTGCCTAAAACAGGTTCTCCACAGTAGGTTTCAAAGGACGGTGGTCAGCTGGGCTCTGAATATCTCCAGAGAAGGAAACACCACAAACCCACAACCTCTCTGGGCAGCCAGTCCTACTGTTCTGTTACCCTCAAAGGAAAGAACATTTTCCTCAGGTTCCAATGGAACTTCTCATGTTCCAATTTCTCCCCACTGCCCCTTGCTCTGTCACTGGGAATTGCTGAAAAAAGTCTGGCCACACCCACTTGACTATCTTCCATTAGGTATTCATAAGCATTAATAAGATCTCCCCCTCAGTCTTCTCTGTGCTGAAGAGTCTCAGGCCTTTTATCCTTTCCTCATGTGAGCAATGTTCCATGTGCAGAAACATGAATACAAAATGCAGCTCCCCGCGTGCAGACACATGAGTGCAGTGCTGCTGGGGGAAGTGCTGTGGTGGCACAAGGACTGCAGTGACATCACTGAGCAACAGGCTGTGATGCCACCGAGCTTTGGGCGCTGGCAGGGCCTGGCCCAGTCACTCTCGTGCCTGGACTCCTGCCGAGCGAGTGCGTGCGGCTTGGAGGTGGAGCGAGGATTTTAATTGTGTGTTGGGCTGTGCTTTGGGGACTGCTGGCAGCTGCTCTCAGTGCCCATACGTACAGCCACCACCTGTAATCCCCTGGCCTGCCTGGCTCAGGCAGCCGGGGCCCCACGGGGTGCACGTGCAGCAGCACAGGTGAGCTGGGTGGGGACACGTCCCCCAGGGTGGCCATGGGGTGAGCTCTGAGCTGGGGGAACTGCCAGAGCCAGGGCTGCAGTCCGACCCTGTGAGGGTGTGGGGCATAGGGCAGCACAGGTGTGGGGTCTGGAGGGTTTCCTGCTGAGGGAGAAGGACGTTTCTTCTGTCTCTCCCTAGGACAGGGAATGACCATGGCCTCTCTCTCTCTTGCAGTGCACAAATTTCACTGCTGAGGCGCTGGAGAGGGAGAGTGACTCATCTTCACTCCCCATCAGGCCACGGCGTGAAGACCATGGCAGCAGAGGAGGCGTGGACATGTCCCATCTGCCGTGAGGTGCGAAAGGACATTGCCTACGCAGTGCCGTGCCGTCACGAGTTCTGCCTCGGCTGCATCCTGCGGTGGGCCAAGCAGAAAGAGACCTGCCCGCTCTGCAGGAGGATAATGACAGTGGTCAAGGTTGCTGAGTGGGATGACGACAACGACCTGGATTTCATCATCCGTCCCCCAGCACCACCAGTTCCTGCCTGCTTCCAGGCAGGCATCGCCCACATCTACAGCCCCCAGCACGATGTGCCATCCCCTCCACCCTTTCTGCTGCTGCCGGAGGAGCAGGAGGATGTGGAGGCAGGCGAGCGGCCTATGGTGGGCGGTCTCCTGATGGAGGTCTGGGCAGCCCTGTTCAGGCAGCACCAGGAGATGCTCGACCCTGTGCTGCCATGGCTGCGCCAGGAGCTGCGAAACATCTTCCGAGCGCAGTGGTGGGAGGCAATGGCGGTGCAGAACCTCATCCTGAATGCCCTGTGTCACATCGGGCTGGACCGCGAGGCCCTGATCCAGCTGCTGTGGCCTGCCCTGGGGGACAGAGCGGAGACGCTCATCCAGGGCCTTGTGGACGCCCTCGTGAGCCAGTGGGGCGAGGAGGCACACGGGCAGCGCGGCCTCCAGGGCGTCCACGTGTCCGGAGGGCAGGAGGAGGGCCCTGCGGCCAGGGGGCAGGAGGACAGCGTGGTGGCCGGCCCTGGCCCCGCAGCCTCCCCACCAGGGACCGTTACATCAAGGCCTGCACTCAACGGACCCAACAGCAGCGCCGAATGGCCTGACAGAGTGGAGCAACCCAGCACGCCACAGGCTGTCGTTCCTGGGGATCTCAGTCACACCCCTGCTGCACACATCCCCAGGGAACTCGAGGAGCCCCACGAGGAGACGGAGCAGGCGGCAGCAGCAGGCCCCTCTGCCCAGGGCAGCAGCCCCTCCGCTCCTGGCCACTCGCCTGCGAGGGCCCGGCGGCCCCGTAAGAGGAGGGCTGGCAGTGATCTGGACCCACCGCAGCCCTGCAAGAAGCCACCTCCTCGCAAGCACTAGCGGGGATTGCACTTCTCTTTAATCAAAAAATAAAGTGGAAAAAAAAAAAGATGACACAGAGCCTCAGGATTTTATGGGTTGGCAGGGACCTCTACAGAGATCATCACGTCCAATCCAACCCCTGTCCTACAGTAGGTTTCACTGAAAGATGTCCAGGCAAGTTCTGGGTATCTCCAGGGAAGGAGACATCACTCCCCACAACCTCTCTGGACAGCCTCTTCCATTGTTCTGTAATCCACACATTAAAAAGTTTTTCCTTGTGTTCAGATAGAACTTCCCACATTCCATTTGATGCCCATTGCCCCTTGTTCTCTCACTGGGAACCACAGAATGAAGACTGGCCACACCCACTTGACTCTCTTCCATTGCCTATTTATAAGCAGTAACAAGATTCCCCCTCAGTCTTCTCAGTGCTGAGGAGTCCCGGGTCCCTTATCCTTTCCTCATGTGAGCGATGAGGATGTCCACGTGCAGACATATGAATGCAAAGTTCTCCACACAGTGATTCTCCCAAGAATCACTATGCTTTTTCAGATCAGAAATTTTTAAAAGAGCAACTGCTAGCAAATAAGGGGAGGGGGGGGGGGGGGGGGGG